AAGCAAATATTTACAGGTTGTTTTCTGCAGATTGCAGTCCAGTCTACTGCATGCTGCTCTGTAGCAAGCCCTAGAGTAGAATTTAGTAGTGAGAAAATAAGCCTTTGTAAGTGTAAAAAGCATCAAACAACTGTGGATAGTCAGTGGCTGGAAAATACATTTTCACAGGATGTTGCCTTTTTTTGTATTGGCTGGCAATTACTTCTCCATTACTTCTATTAGAGAGGTCATTGAGTGCCAGGCCCAGATTCGTTTGTTCCTGCCTGCTATATTTTAAGGCATGGACAATAATTCCTGAGCAACTGAGAACATGTATTAGCTAAGGGTGTCATCTTTATGCATAAAACGTTTAAAAACAAATTTTATTTTCACACTTGTTTACTTTGCTACAAGATACCACGGTGAATATTATGGCTGGTATAGCTAGCTACTTACATCATGGAGTAGTCTTAAATTCAGCCCTTGAACAATCCATCTCTAACATAGTTTGAGAATTTATTAGTATCTCAGAATTCGGTATTCGTGGAGATGAGAACCGCGTTGAAGCTGAATTCCTTCTTAACTCATCAGTATTCTAACCTAACATGGCAGAGTAGAGTGTCTGCCGCAATTTGAACAGACGAGATGAAAGAAGAGCTGTGAAGTGAAAATCACGTTGCCTTCCAAATGAGGGGAGAAAGACGGAAGGGTGTGATTTAGCATGCAGTCTTTTTTTAACCACTGATTTATTCTGGCAATTTTAGGCAGAATTATTTTTGATAGCTTGCTGTTCATAAAAAGCGTTATTTCACAAGCAGGTAGTGAGCTTCAGCATTTTCAGACAAGATACACCTAATGTTTCTTTCTTTCTCCCTCCCTTTTTTTTTTTAGCAGAAATGCTATAAGCAGAATGATTAGGTGTCCTGCCCCTACAAGGGCCTGGGATTTTAACATTAATTACCATTATCTGTATCCCCTACCTCTCTTTCTCATGAATATGTTTAAAGCAGCCTTACAATAAAGATAAAAACGTTAAAGAAGTTTCCAGCATAGCTGTGAGTATTTTGCATAGCAAGCAATAATAAGTTACTCTCAGCCAGGCCTGCCAAACTGGCGGCCCACGGGCTGGATGTGTCATGCGCAGGCTACGGCCACCCCAGCTCCGCAAAGGCAAAAAAAGTCACAATACATCATAATCCATAGGCCTTTGGCTTTAATAACCCAAGTATGGCTCAGGTGACGCGATCGAGTTTGACACCTGTAGTCTAAGCACTGGGTCTAACATTACTTTTTTCTCAAGCAAACTAGGAAAAAGGAATCAGGCCTGAAAAGAACATTAATGTGCCTCTGTTGATACATCAAGTTTGCTATTTGGTTTACTAGTGAGTAGCTGTAATTTCAGGAGTATACAGTATTAAGAGTGCTGTCAGTCATGCCACCGGAAAACCTTGATTCAAATTACAGTTCTTAAGAGATCTGGATATACCTCTTATTCCCCAAACCTGGTGGGCAACCATTTCTGGAGGGCAGAAATGGATGTCACCTTCTATTGATTTTCCACTCATTTTGAACGCAACTCCCCCCCCCCCCCACACACATTTCCCTGCTATACTTTCTCTCCCTACATTGGCTTGAATGCTCCCATCCATTTGGATTAGAGCACTTCCAGTTTCCTGCACATAACTTCAGCAAATCTTGTGCCGGTATACAGAGGAAGGATTGCCTCCTCAGCCAAGCCAGCCTTACAGCTCCCTTTTATCCTGAGTAGAAGAAAGACATAAATCCATGTAGGCCTTTGGCTTTAATAACCCAAGTATGGCTCATTTGAAACTTAGCAGGAACTTGTTTTGTTTTTCAATTACTGTTTTTTTTTCCCCAAGTGGCCTCCTTTTGAGTGTGCTTGCTTCATTTTTTTTTCTAATAGTGCAATTCCATCATTTCGCCAATTTTTCAATGGCTTGATATATAGAAGGCTTTCATCCTTATCTTTGAAATAGCCCTGTAGTTGTGCCTTAGGAGAACAAATCCATAAGGACAAGATTCAACAGTCCATCTGCATTTAAAAAGACAAAGGCCACTCTTTTGAAGACAGTAAAGTCCACATTTTGGAGAGAGAGGACCACTAGTTTGAAAGAGGGGTCAAAGAGACCATCTAGGTCAAAATTGAACAGCCCTCTCTCAACAAAGGGAGAGGGATACAACATCATGTATCTCCAGTCTACAACACAGTCCTTTCAGCAGTTCAAAGAAGGCTCCACACCCATTTGCATTATTCAGGTGATTCTGAGGACACAGATAAACCTTCAAGTGGCCTCAGTGACTCTCTAAAAGAATGCAAATGACCAGCTCTCTGCCAGGAATATAAATCCTTCCATTCTCCACCATCCAGTCAGAACTGAAGAAGCTTCTTGGATGAAAAGCAAAACATCTTCAAAGAAAACAAAAAAGTCCAGTTGCCTCTTGAAAAAGGCATCTTTGGGACAGGACAGCCCTGTAGTTGTTTGGGATCTAGAGGGGAAGAGCCTTCTACCTTTGGTATTTTAGCTTTCTTAATATAACTTAACTTTGTATGTGTGTTTAAAGTGTGTATGTCCCAAAAGGAAAAATATTGGCCATTGCTTTTGTGCACATGAAGGGGATAGAAGAAGGGGATTTGTTCAAAGGAAAAACGTGGTAGTTTGTGATCTGAACTGAATATCTTGCAAGGATCTCAGTCTGGACATTTTCTTAAACCAGCATTAATACATCTGGCTTGCATATTACTTAATTTTACCTGATTTAACTAGTATATGCTGTTAGTGTGTTTTACATATCAAGTTTATTCTTTTAATTATGAGGTAGTTATCTATTTGGTATTACATTATTTCCTTAATTAGTGTTGCCTAGGTTTTTTTAAAAAAAATACTTCTGCATTGTGTATATTTTAATTTAATTGATATTTCTTTATTTCTGTTCCATGTTAGCTTTTACATGTGATATAAATATTGTTACTAAAGACATCTGCAATGCATCTACAGCTTGTTTTCAATTCATCATGTATAAAACTAGTGTCTTTCACTGGATTTTGATTAGAATGAATTAGGGATCTCTGGGCATAAAAAAATCATCAAAGTCAAGAAAGAAAAGTTTTGTATGTTTCATCTGGTGACCGGAAACAGCAAACCACCAATCTATACCTCATAGTACTTTGCTATTTATTTTTAATTCTTGCCTAGAGTGAACACATTTTGCCAAACAGTAAAGAAAAAAGTAAGTTCTAATTTAATGGAATTCTGAGCACTCAATCTCTTCATTTCACTTTAAAGTGCAACAGTGTTGGATGATGGCCATAAACCCTGACAAGATTGCTAGCTAGACTATGTCTTGCAAGATATTTAGCCAGCATAAATATTTTTAATTAACTGAACAATTTCAATCGCACTTCTCTGCATGCAACATGGTTGCCTAATGTTAATTGCACTTGAGTGTACACGAAAATGCAAGTAAAAAAGTGTCTTTCTTCTCCAGTATTACTAAACGTGCCTCAGTGTATTAGATATAACAGCAGGATTAGTTTTTCTTGTTATTTTCAGAATTGCTTGTTAATTTATGTGGTCAAATTATTCAAGAAAATTCTATGTGTGGTGTTAGGTACATAAATGAGCCCAGATCAGGGGTGAAATGTAAAATTTGTTACTACCGGTTCTGTGGGCATGGCTTGGTTGGGGGGAGAGGGGGTAATGTGACTGGGTGGGCGTGGCCAACTTTTTTTTTTTTTAACTTTTCAAAGCATTTTTTCTAATGCTTTGAAAAGCCGCTGCCGATCAGGCAACTCAGCTGGGATCGTCAGAGAGGCTTTTTAAAAAATACTCAGCTGGGATTGTCAGAGACTTTTCAAAGCATTTTTTTTACCACCTCTTCGGCCAAGAGGTTGCAGAAAAAAATGCTTTGAAAAACCTCTGACGATCCCAGCTGAACCACACGATCATCAGAGCCTTTTTTTTTTACTTTTAGTTTTAAAAGCATTTTTTCGTCCGAAGAGGTTGTAGAAAATATGCTTTTAAAAGTTAAAAAAAAAAAAGCCTCTGATGATCGTTTGGCTCAGCTGGGCATGGGGGAGGCCGCAGGGATTTTTGCTACCGGTTCTCCGAACCACCCGCCGCCATCGCTACCGGATCAGGTGATCCGGTCCGAACCGGGAGCATTTCACCCCTGGCCCAGATAGCCATAACTCTTAATCTCTATGCACTGAGAACTATGCCACTAAATGCATTGTGGGAAGAGGGAGGCGTCTTAACACAAATGAGGAATGTGATAACCATAGAGGTGATCCTTGACTTATAACCATTCATTTAGTTCAAAGTTAAAAAAAACAGCAGTGAAAAAAGTGACTCAGAACTGTTTTTCACACTTACGACTGTTGCCGCATCCCTGTGGTCACATTATCAAAATTTGGATGCTTGGCAGCCACCATGTATTTATGAGGGTTGCAGTGTCCCAAGGTCATGTGATCACCTTGTGTAACATTCTGACCAGCAAAGTCAACAGGGAAACCAGATTCACTTAACAACTAGCTTAATAACAACTACAGTGATTCACTTAACAATTGTGGCAAGAAAGTTCATAAAACAGGGCAAAACTCAGTTAACAACTTTTTTGCTGATCAACAGAAATTTTGGGCTCAATTGTGGTTGTAAGCTGAGGAGTATCCATATCTGGTTCTCACTCAATCATGGATTGTATCTGTTTCTGTATTAATATTTACCACCAGTCTCAACCAGGGGACAAGGGGGCAAAAAGACGTAATTTTGGGGGTTGCAATTGATTTCACTCCAAAAGCAGGATAGAAATCCAGTAAATAAATCAATAACTTATTTCGATTCCTGGCATAAATGTTAATTTATATGATTTTTTTAAAAAAAAAATCATTACTCTTCAAAAGTGGGACAGGTATTCAAATTCCTCAATAACTGGATGAAAAACGATGGATATTGGGTTGCATTTGTTTTCGTTACCTTTTTTTATTTATTTTTTGTTCCTAGATGTACATCACCCACACAATAAAGGCCAGAGGAACCAGGCTGGCAAAACCAGTTCTTTGCTTGAGCATAATGTGTATGGCATTTCTTACTGGTATCAACAGAGTAGCAGAATATCGAAATCACTGGTCAGATGTGATAGCAGGATTTCTAGTCGGTATTTCAATAGCTGTGTTTTTGGTATGTATAAGCTACGCATTTTTCTACCTGTTATATGTCTGACTGTTTTTAGGATCCATCATTTCATTAATCTGTCAGGATACAGGCTATTTGTATGAATGGCAAGCATTTATAACTCTGCCTGATTAAAGAAGTATGTAAAATCATATGCTGTATTTCGATAAATACAACTGTTTATTACCCTACCCAGCTAAAGTAATCATATGAGCTTTTTACTGTTAGACTGTTCTACGCAGAGAGTAATTTTTAAAGAGCTCTTTTTATTGCTATCATTATTATTTCCATGTGGACATGGCTTCTTTCTCCTGCATTTTTGAGTCTATAGTCACTGAGTTGCTTCTTTCCAAGATTATCCGTCCCTTGTTTATAAAATGACTTTCTCAGGCTTGAGAATCCAGGATTCCAGCCTCATCCAGTTTCGGCTCTTACACTCGGCTCTTATGTTTCTATTTTAATTTAAAGATGTTCAATTTTTAAGTTCCCATTCTGTGAAGCTGCACCCTCTGCAATTATATCAGTTTGGAAATATCACCTAATTGTTTGAAAATATTGTTTAAGCCCCAGGAATAACACGGCAAATTCTCCTCTCACTATGCAACCACAAAGGAGCCTAAAATATATGTCGTCCTCAATTTACAACCACAATGGAGCCTAAAATATATGTTGCGAAGTGAAAAATTTGTTAAGTGAGTTAACAAATTGTTAAGCCTCATTTTATGCCTTTTTTCTCCACACTTGTTAAGTGAATCACTGCAGTTGTTAAATTAGTAACACCGTTGTTAAGTGAATCTGGCTTCCCCATTGACTTTGCTTGTCAGAAGGTTGCAAAGGGTGATCATGTGACCATGGAATGCTACAACTGTCATATGTGTGAAAAACGGTCATAAGTCACTTTTTTCAGTGCTGTTGTAACTTTGAACGGTCTCCAAATGAACGGTTGTAAGTCGAGGACTAACTGTACTGGATTTATAATTACATGAAGTTATAGTGCATTAAATTACAACTTTTGGGGGATGGATATATTTTGGGAATCGTACAGTTTTAATTGTAATGGTATTTCTGTCAAGACTCAGGTATCATAATGCTGTCATAGTATCTAAGAACTTTCTTCTCTTTCTAGGTGATATGTGTGGTTAATAATTTTAGAGGTAGGCAACCAGAACACGAGCAGTCGCACATGGACAATCTGGGACAAATGTCTATGATCAGCATCCCTCGGGTAGAACATTCTGTAGTAAAGGTAAGGTCTCTTGTGAATTGATAAGTTTTGTGGCGAACCTGAGGTAGAATGGTTGCCTTGCTTAATTTTTGTAAGAGAAGTGAATCTTCAAGTCCACCTCATAAATTATGGTTGATTGAAGACTAGGAACCCTTTTGTATCTTCTCAAGGATTGTAGGAGGCCATGTAGAAAATGCAGTATAAAAGAAAAAAGGCTAATTTTATACTGTGCTGTTAAATCACACCTTATCACAAGAGGCAGCCTTCTTCCTCTCACAATATCATGAAGAGGGGACTGAAACATTCTCTTCAGTTAATTAATTTAATAACTTACATTAAAATTCTTTATTGTATCCAAACGTCTCAGTTCAAGGGATACATCAGTTGCCCAGTGATGGTTTTGTGGCTGTATAAAAGACTCCAATTACAAATGCACTTTTTATATGCACCTGATTGTTCAAATGACATTTAGTAGAAGGCTTCTGTTTGAGCAGTGTTTGCAGGAGGCTATTTGCATAAAATTAGTGATTGCTTTGAACTCTAATATGCATTTTGTTTTTACCCCAAATAACCCTGGCAGTTTGGCAGACTTGAGTGCTTGTTATACAGTGGATGTGACTATCTTGCCATGTATGTGTGACATTGCTTCTGTGTAAATTGAGCTTGATTGGCCTAGTGCAGTGATGGCGAATCTTTTTGGCACCGAGTGCCGAAAAGGGAGTGTGCGGAGGGGGCACCAAGTGCCAAAAAGGGAGCACTTAATGTGTGCGACCGGGAAGAGGAGCTACCCAGGGGGTATGCGCGTGATGGATAAGGTACTTCGGGTCAGCAAGTCCTTCTGATAAGGTACTTCTGGCCAGCAAATCTTCCAGCTACTGCCGCGCATGCACACACGCCGATCAGCTGGCTGGCGCGCATTCTCCGTTTTCTCCATTCTTCCGTTTTCTGGCGTGAGAAGGGGCGTTGGTCCTACATGAGATGCTCCTTCTCGTTGTGTGGAGACAGCAGCCAGACCCTTCCTTTGCCTGTCTGGTCCGGTTATTGGTTTCCTTCCTTTTAAGTCTTTCCTTTCTGCCTACCCACACGCCGAGTCTGCCATTATAGTCCTTCGCCAAAAGCTGGACCTGCCTGGCAGCAAGGGCGGGCTTTAATGTTATTGGCTGACTCAGTCCTTCAGCTGATTGGGCAAGTGCTACCCACACTGGCTGCTGTCTCCACACAATGAGAAGGAGCGTATCAGGTAGGACCAACGCCCCTTCTCACGCCAGAAAACAGAAGACCAGCTCTTCCGGTTTCTGGCACTGCTGCACACACCAAGGCCAGCTAATCGTCACGTGTGCATGCATGCCAGAAACCTGGAAGAGGAACGGGCAATGTTGTGTGTGCCAGGTGACATGGCTCCGTGTGCCACTTCAGACACACATGCCATAGAGTCGCCATCACGGGTCTAGTGGTTAAGGCACCAGGCTAGAAATCAGGAGGTTGTGTGTTCTAATCCCACCTTAAGCATGACAAACTTGCTGGATGATTTTGGACCAATCACCCTCTCTCAGCCCAACTCACTTCACAAGGTTGTTGCAGCGGGGAAAATAAAAGGAAGAAAGATATTAGGTATGTTTACTATCTAACTAACTAACTAAATAATAAATAAGGTGGGAAATAGATAAATAAATAGTATAGGGCTGGGATGTTAGAGCTTTTGTTTCTTGATTTTCTTTTTCTACTTAGGGTAACTCCCTCAATTTGGTTTAATTGAAAACAATGGCAGTTACAGCAGAGTGTGACATGTTACAAAAGTCTTTATTCTATTCAGTTCTATCTCAAAAATCAACCTGTTTCACCATCTCATTTGTTCAAGCAAGCATCTGGTTGATGGGTGTATCTTTTGTGTAATCCGTTCTGTTAGCTTCCTCTGAGATGTCAAAATAAAGGCTTTTGTTTGCCCAAATTAACATTGTGGGGCAGCTAAATGTTCAATTTAAAAAAATGCATGAATAAGAGGAAACAATTCATAGTCTGCCTTCCCTACTTAGGCATCATTACATTAAACACTTTATCCAGAATCCAAGCCAATACAATTCGGTTGTTGCTGTTATTTTTATTATTACTTCTTAGGTTGCTATCTCACGTTTCTCCTAGGATCTCAAAAAGTGGTACGCGTAACATGTAATTTGCTCCTCCAAATTTTTCCTACAATAAATCCTTAATGTAGGCTAGGCTGAGAGATAGACGTTGAATCAAATTAATCGGTGAGCTTCTATGGCTGATTGGATTCAAAATTGGTTTTTTTCAATCCTAATTTTATTTCTCAACCACCGCACTGTTTTGATTTCAAACGTCAAAGCCAAGCAGGGAAAAAGCTGTAAACCTGCAGAGGAGCATGGGAGCAGCAGAATATCTCATCTACATTCTATTTCTAATGTTTACAAATTCATTTTACACCCTTGGTGATGTAGTTTATGTCAATGCTGTAACTCTGCCTAGCTGGCAATATGAACAGATCATAACTTTTTAGTATGGAAGAGATAAATACCAACTTACCCTTTTCAGCCTAAATAAGATGAAAGTGTCTACTTGTGTGTATTTGGTCATAGTGTAGATGCCCAGGTTTGTTGGAGCTAAAATCAGATAAAGCTATATATGTGGAAAATGGAAAGAAAATACTTGGGAGACAAATAGCTAGATCTTAATTATTAAACATAAACATGTTCAGTCAAAGCATACAGGAAGGACTGTATTCTAATCCAGCTCCCAATGACTGCATGTTCCATGTGCCTGTGAGGAACACAATTTAATAGCAGTGTAGCTTGTTGCCATACAGAGAAAAATATTATAGGAGAGCCCTTGGGGGCGCCATGGTTAGAATGCAGCATTGCAGGCTAACTCTGCCCACAACCTGGAGTTCGATTCTGACAGGGCTCAAGGTTGACTCAGCCTTCCATCCTTCCAAGGTTGGAAAAATGAAGACCCAGTTGTTGGGGATAATATACTGACTCTGTAAACTGCTCAGAGAGTGCTGTAAAGCATTATGCAGTGGTATATAAGCTATTGTTATGGAGGCATTCTGTGAGCACTACCCAGGCAAATGCAATCAATACCGTGTGCTTGGTGAGCATGTCACGTTAACCACTTCATTAGATAAATAAATTACAAGGATCTATCTAGAACATGGGTGTCAAGCTCGCGATGTCACATTGTCATCACATGATGTATCGTGACTTTTCCCCCCTTCACTAAACCGGGGTGGGTGTGGCCAGCACATGACACATCCGGCCAGTGGGCTGCAAGTTTGACACTGCTGCTATAGAGAATGTCAAAATGGCAGCCCATGGGCCGGATACGGCCTGCGCAGGCCACACCCACCCCAGCTCTGCAAGGGCAAAAAACATCCCTATACGTCACTATATGGCCCACAATGCGATTGGGTTTGACACCCCTGCTCCAGAGGTTACCCAATATTGTCAACATTCTATACTATGCTATATTACACTACACTGCACTCACTATACAGTGCACTAGTAGTCTTTGACTTATGACCATTTGTTTAGTACCATTTGCAGTACTGAAAAAAAAAATTATTTATGACCAGTCCTTGCATTCAAAACCATCACAACATCCCCATAGTCCAGGGGTGGGCAAATATGGCCCCTTTATGACCTGTGGACTTCAACTCCCAGAATTCCTGAGCCAGCTTGGCTGTCTCAGGAATTCTGGGAGTTGAAGTCCACAGGTTGTAAAAAGGCCACAGTTGCCCACCCCTGCCATAGTCACATAAATGATTTACAGGCCAAGTATAGGATAACTGTGTTGCATATCTCTTGAACTGCTACTCTTGTCAAATATTTCTGCCCGCCTTCATTACTGACCCCCAGAGAGTAGCCTATACATACATACGTTTTATTTAAGTTAATACTAAAAACAAAACCCTCCTCCTTCTGTGTTACCTGCTGGGAAGATGAAGATGAAGAAAAATGAAAGCTGTCCAAACATGATTCAAGCGATGCCATTATTGTACATATTGCAGAGCCCAGGTGCTAATGGAAGTGAAGAAGAACCTTTGCAGGAATACTCTTTTAAAGCCCAGCTTTTTAGGCTATTCTCCTGGGTAACAGGAATGGACCAGTTTGAACATCTTCATATAAGGCAATAAAGTTATGTGTGCAAATAAGCACACTGGTGTGTTTAAACGCTGTCTTGCAAGCGGCGTATCTGAACCTTCAGTGCAGGCAGAGGTCTCTCTGAGAAGCAAAAGTTTGTGAAACTGCATTTTTATTTTATGCTCGTATTTTATCTCCTGCAAAGACGGGAGAAAAATATTTTAAAAACTGAGAGGATACGTGCGATCAAATGCAGTTTAATACTTGCATTGTAATGAAATGCACAGACTGATTAGGAAAACAAGGTCATTATATCTTGTAATTCTGTATTCTTGTCCCTACTCAAAATGATTAGTGACTTGTGCATTACTGAAGATTTATGTTATAAACTACCTATGTTGCCAAAATGTACTTTACATGAGTGGAATGCTATTTAAAATAGCAAGAATCATTATTTGGCATATTGCTAAGTAAGGGTGGTCTCTGTTTTTAAAAATGGAAACCAGCACTTAAGGTTCAGTTTTAATATATTTCGTTTTTTAATTGTGATGTTTTATAGTTTGAGCTCTTCCAGTTTGCTCTCCTCCAGTGTGATATATTGGTTGGAAATAACTATTGCCATGCTGTGCATGTTTTTTTTTCTTCTGTCGCTCTTACTAGTAACTGCCTCTGATGTTACAAAAATATAAACTTGTGAATTGCTGTTCACAGAACCAAACACAACATTGCTGTGAATTAATGGTGAATGCTCGTGCCAACAAACGTTCACAGAAGAATTTGATAATATAACTTGGGTTTGGTTTTTTTGCATGGGTTTTAGTGTGTCTACTCTGACTGAGTGCTAGATCAAAAGGCTTTGTTGAAGGTTTCATTTTCAGAGGACTCCAACAAGCTCTACCTTGTGCCCTACGTAGAGACATCTGTTACAGTTCTCTAATTCCTGCCCACATTTGTCATTGGCTTTGTAGTACAACTGGAGTTCTACCTGTTACAGCTCTGGAATGAAGAATGGCTGACTTAAAAATAGAGTCCTTGAATCTCCCAGTAGTTCTATGCAAAATACTAGCTTGAAAAAAGAAGAAATGTTAATTAATGAAAGAGGACATTCTTGCATTCTGCTGAATAGTAAATACAATTTTCATTTAAGTTTCTCTTGTTTCATGTTATACCACTTTCAAGTGTTACGAAACTTTTTTAAAAAACAACAAGAAATGCAGAATGAAAATAGTAGTGACAATTTGATTTACCAGATTTTGCCATGTTTGTCTTAAAAATTATATTGTAGTTACTTATTATAAAATAATTGTAAAATTTGGCTTCAGTTTAAGTGTTTGAAGAACTCAGTCATTTAAGAGTGGTAACTTAATTGAGTATTATGGAAAAGTAATGATAAACTGGGTTATAATTCTCCTTTTAATGTGTGTGGAATATTTTGCAAAGCATTTTAGATTTTCTTGAGATATGTAGGGTTGAATCTCTGAAGTGCTACTAAAGTCTAAACTATGGGATCTACAGGTGGGAAAATGCACTTCTCATCATTACAGATGAATGACTTCCATTCTTTGTTCTTTTCACTTTTGTAGAACCACCTCACAGCCTTTGCAGAAGTCACATGATGGAGAAAGGGATGTCTACTCGCTACATTGGACATCATCTCTTTTCACAGTTCACTCGTAATGACTGAAACAATTTCAATATTAAAGAAAAACTGATTTGGTCTTAGAATCTGATCTAACAGCATTAAAATTTACAGCAGCCTAGGAAGAATATGCCTGAATTAAGAATATTTTCCAACTCCAACCAAAAGCATTGTACCATTTAGGGATTGGGTGGGGAAGAGTGAACCTCAGCATGTCATATAAACATACCATTCCCCCTGTTCCGGCATATTTATTTCCTAACTTGGTCATGTAAGTATTAGACTGTATTCCAAGGAGATCTGGTCTTTAAAATTCAGCATGACACTTAACTCCCATTTAAACCGATTTCAGTGTACACTTTTCTAAAAGAATCTTATCCAGAACTCAGATGCCACTGGCACTTCCTATTATATATTTCTCATACCACATTTCTTAAGACTGGTGCTTCTGTTTTTGAAGAAAAAAATGCCATTTATACTCTAATAAGTATTCTATTGTTATTTTAAAACAAATTATTTATTTCGATATTTTCCTGACTTCATGTGGTTGAATAGTTGATTTTGTAGTTCTTCAAATGTCTTCAATGTACCCTGTTGTTAGGATTAGAAATGAGAACATGTAGACATTGGGGTAGATTATTCTTTTACTATCAAACACTAACTAAAGGTTTATAACTCCAAACTTGTTGCCAGCATATTCATATACCTACTCATTCATAACATACCATTATTGCTTTTTATGGATAGTAGCTAAAGGTTACGGGACTTAGAAAACACACTTGTCACAGTAGTTTTAAAGCCTTTGATTCTGTCCTTTACATATTGGAAGAAATAATTAGAATATTCTTTGTTCCCAATGGGGGCAGAGGATACCACTCCCCACTCCTGCTTAGTGCTGAACCAGCAATCACCCCCCCCCCGCCCCACGATTTTTTAAACCTCAGAGAATAAAAAATCACAGAGCAAACGGAAGGGCAGCGGGTGAAATGAATGACAGATATTGCTATCTTGTAACCAAGTCTTCCTCTTTCACCAGCAGATGAAGCAGAATTGTACAATATTTCTTCGTTTGCATTTACGCAGGATATCTCTATAATCTCTACTCTGCAGTAGGTACAATTAGATTAAGGGACAAGAATAAGGCACAGATCATGTACAGTGATCTCATCCCATTGGCCTCAAATAATGTGTGCTTTTTGAGGAGCAGTTTTAATAGTCTAAATTCTCAATATTTGAACACTGTCTCTTGATACGTTTGCTTCCATTTCGTTTCTTCCACTTCCTAACTCCCATCTCCACCTAAAAATGTTCCAATGCTATGATCCACCTTAAATCTGGTCATGGTGCAGTTAACACTTTTAGTATAATAGTTGCAAACAGGTGTCCTATGGAACATTAGTTCCCTCCTTTATTGACATGAATGAAAATTGAATTTCGTCACGGTAAGATCTTATCCCAAAGACATCTCTTCTACTAATACATGGAATATTCTCTAGCCTAATCTAGCTTCAGTGCACATAATGGCCAAAAATTGTTTATGCCTTTCTTGAAAATGAGATATAGGCTCCCAAATAAAGTTATTTCCACATGATGTTTCAAACAGTAGGAAAAATAAAGCTGGGCTGTTTTACATCTTGAAAGCCAAGAGATTTAATGTTTTATAATTTCTTTAATTTGGATTCTGTAGGTGGTGAGAGTCTTTGAAAGGTTTTGTTGAAAAATGGTCTTCAAAATAGTATGAAATTGAACCAAAGTATTACCATCCTTCCAAATATTTATTCTGTATCTCAGGTAATCTTTTTGGATATGCCAGGAAAGCATCAGACCAGAGAATGAAGAGAGAGAGAAAATAAGTCTAATGCATAACTGCATATATGTTTTTTTTTGTTTTTTTTAAAAAACCCAGTGATTATAAAATTCAACACAGTTTTACAGTGTGTCGCCAGTCTTATTAAAAAATCAAATATTAATACCTTACTCACCATGGCAATCTAAGATGGGTGGGAGGGAATGCACAGCATCACCCATATAATTTACATTTTCAGAAACTACTTAGACTTTTGGATGAGTTCCAGCATAAATAAAATACTTTCAAATAACCCATTTCACTAAAAAGTTAGACACACACTTGATTTTCTTTCACTTAAAACAATAGTACTTAAAGTGCTGTGCTTGGATCAGGCAGTGTTCTTTCTATTAATTATTTTGAACATGCACAGAATCAAACCCAACAGAGAGAGACAATCCTGCTCTTTGGTGATCATTGAAACGCTAACTGTACCATGAAAGTACAAATGTAGTTAGTAAAAAGTCACAAAGGGTTGCAGTGTGTTTTTGATACAAAGCTACCCATGTTTTACCCTTAGAGAGAGTGCTTTACCCTAGACAAAAAGATGAATTCTGTGTAGTACAACTGCCAGTTTTTAAAAAGATGAATATAGCAGATCCGTGATAATCTACAATTCTTCCCATTTCATTTTCTTCAATAGAACACAGCCAATTAAATGATACCATGAGCAATTAAAAAAAATAATAAGTTACAATAGAATCATATGGTGCAGCCTTTTCCTGATATGGAAATCATATGGAAATCATGGTGCAGCCTTTTCCTGATTTCCTACATACAGATACCACAGAATGTAGATAGGTACAAATATTATTTGCCTTTTTTGTTTGTAAATTAAAATCTCTCTAAATATAAGAAACAAAAGTTACAAAAATGTGGTTGCTGCAATATATCTGTTAGGCATAGGCTCCCTGACTTTAAAATATTTTTTTCTATAAACTAGGTAATAACTGCATTAAGACTGAATTTTTCCACCTAGTCAACCAACATAGCTACAATTCCTTTATTTCTTACTCATCTAAGTGATCTCCCGCCTGCAATCTGAAATGATTGGCTCTGCTGGATGTTTAGAACCATGATTTTGCTGATCATGTCACTTGGCTCAAAATACACCTTTGCCACATATTGCCATCCGGAAATGCAAACAACGCAACTGAGCTGGTTTTAAATTCTTGTCTTCTAGGGATATTAAAAATGCCTGACTTCTAGATGTGAAAACCAAGTATCTTTATAAGCATATGCAGCTGACGTATGGATGTTTCCCAAAGATTCTGTAAAACTGGATAATTTAAAAGTACATTTACAAAGTACTTATACAAATGGAAAACTCAAGTCCTTTAACGATGAAAGCGCAGCAGGTGTTACAACCACCACCACCTACTAAAGCAGTATTTCTCAAACTTGGCAACTTTACAGTATGTGAACTGCAAAGTCCAGAATTCCCCAGCCAACATTTTGGGAGTTGAAGTCCACACATCTTAAAGTTTCCGAGTTTGAGAAACACGAAGTATGTTTGATACCATATCCCATGTGCTCATTACACTTAGTATGTTTTCACTTCTTGGTATAGTATAGCAATTTAGAATCCACTTTACTTAAAATTATTCACCATGAGGATTTCAGGGAAATCCTTGGTCGGTCATTGCAGCACAGTAATTCTGCAAATTTTATATCTGATTCATAAGTTCAGGAAGAGACTCTTTTATGTTAAAAGAAAGATTATTCTTTTTCAGCATATTGTCTTATGTAAATCAGCATGTAACTGAGTCACTCTCAGGATTTATAACAGCCTAGTATCGGGGTTAAATTTATCATGTTATCTTTGTGAACCAGCAGTAACAGGGTGGGAAAGAAACACACTGCTGTGTACTGTATTTTTAAAGAAAATAAAATGATTTTTTTTCAAGCTACATTGTCATTTCTTTCTGCAAAAGAGGCTGTTATGAGATTCAATGAATTGTTTATTTTAAAAATAATTTTTATTCAACATTTTTCATATTTAAAATCACAGTTACACTTTTACAACTTTCCGTTATCGGAATTTTTTCTTAAATTCATCATATCCTTCAGCTTATTGTGTACATATACATTCTTATTTCTTAAGTATTTATTTATCTAATATATACAATATATACATAAGTACTACACCAGAGGTGGGTTTCAGCAGGTTCTGACCAGTTCTGGAGAACCGGTAGCGGAAATTTTGAGTAGTTCGGAGAACCGATAGTAAAAATTCTGACTGGCCCCACCCCCATCTATTCTCTGCCTCCCAAGTGCCAGCTGATCAGGAGGAAATGACAATTTTGCAGTAACCTTCCCCTGGAGTGGGAATGGAGATTTTACAGTATCCTTCCCCTGCCATGCCCACCAAGCCATGTCATGCCTACCAAGCCACACCCACAGAACCTGTAGTAAAAATGTTTGAAATCCACCACTGTACTACATTCTAAATATATATATATTCCTTCTATTATCTTCTCTTAACATTCACTATACGTTGATTTTAGACTTCTTTTCCAGACAGTTATACCACCTATTCCATGTCTCATAATATACAGTTTCCTCTCTGTCCCTTAATTCCATCATTAATTTATTCATTTCTGTGCATTCTAGCACCTTTTTTATAATCATTGTGTTTGATGGAACGTGTTGTTTCCAATTTTGGACAATGAATTGTAAGAACCGTGTGATGCTGGAATTTCACAAATTCCTGTGGGCTGGCCCAGGGCTATCTGGTGGGCTACCATATATTGAGTTATTGGCTGGGTTTATTTTGGGTCACAAGGTGACTAGACCGGTTTGGAAAGTCCTTCGTTTTGTGCATTTTCTGTTTTGCTTTTTCAATATTTTGTCTTTATATGACTGATTGCCCCTGAATGAATACAGTCCACATAATAGATTTTCCCATAGGTTTTTCAGTAGATTACATGACAGAATTCCCAAATTGCTTCTCGGTAGTGGAGTTGAACTTATTGAATCTCCCATCATTAAGCAACTTTTGAAAAACTTTGCTTTTAGAACCCTTTTCTTTCTCTATTGGGGTGAACATGGGCACCCACAAGGGAGCAGTGGAGAGGGCACATTCTAACATGCATAGTGACACAAAAATAGAGTTATTCAGATGTCGGATAAGGGCAGATATTGGGTTACCGTGCTACTGCATCAATGTCATTCAATACAACCTCTGCAACAGGTACCTATGACGATAAACATTGCAGTTTTTCTTTCTTACAAATCTATAAAGGTAAAGGTTTCCCTCGCACATATGTGCTAGTCGTTCTCAACTCTAGGGGGCGGTGCTCATCTCCATTTCAAAGCTGAAGAGCCAGCGCTGCCAGAAGACGTCTCCGTGGTCATGTGGCCAGCATGACTAAACGCCAAAGGCGCATGGAACGCAGTTACCTTCCCACCAAAGGTGGTCCCTATTTTTCTACTTGCAGTTTTTACGTGCTTTCGAACTGCTAGGTTGGCAGAAACTGGGACAAGTAACGGGAGCTCACCCTGTTACGCAACACTAGGGATTCGAATTGCTGAACTGCTGATCTTTTGATCGACAAGCTCAGCGTCTTAGCCACTGAGTCACTGCGTCCCCCTTTAGAAGGGGGGAGGGGACACAAATCTTTAGAAGCTTGCTTAAATATTTCAAAACAAACAATTAGAAGAGGAAATTATGGTTATGCCAAGAAAACTTTAAGAAATAGAGACTAAACAATGCAAGTCAAATTGCAAGAGAATAGCAATGAAAAAATAGCACTGTCAAATATTGACACTTAAAAACTTAAGGGGGACAAGCAGGTTTTAAATGTTCAAATAATAAAACAAGGTGCTTGTTTTAGTTGGTGGATGCTCTCCTTAACATTTCAGTAATAAACCAAAACTGAGTCTCTGATGCCCCATTAATTTTAGGTTGCAACTTGAAGACTGCTGCTGGCTGGCCTCTGATGGCTGATAAATTTTAGTAAAAATGGAAGGAGAGAGACTCATATTTCAGAGCATCTGATAGAATACTCCATCAATGTCCTCTGGATTTATCACTAACTACATGTTGCCTAAATAGAGATGAAGGCAGACACCTGGGTTCTGAAACATAACACTGCCAAGGGAGAGGAACTACACCAGCTCTGGAATTTTATTTCACATTTATGTCAAGGGGATACGGAAAGTTTTTCTTATTTGGACCAAGACAAGCTAAGAGAGTGCCAGTTCTCCCTACTTCAGTCGAACTGCTTTGGCCATTTTCATTTATCAACCATGACATTTCAGTGGGAATTGCCCAATGTATTATGCCCCCTTTATTTATTTTTTCAGCAACAATTTCTGATCTTGTTTATGAAAGATACAGTAATTCCTAATATCCCATCATTTTTCACGAGGCTGTTTCCTGCCCACTATTCAGTCATCATTATCTTATATTTGGCTGCTGAACAAGTCTAGTCAAGAGTTCCTTAATTTCATGTCTTCCAAATTTGTCAAAGCTACAACCATCACTGGTGATTATTTATTTAATTCATTTTACTTGGGTGACTCTGGGTGGTGAACACAGTTCAAAACATCAGTGTAATGAAAAATAGTAATAGGAAGTTAATTTATTATTTGTCCAAAATAAAGTTATAATACTTTGTAGGCAATCTTGGCCTGAAGTCTGGAACCTGTATCTTTCATACATCTGGAGGCTTCTTTAGGAAAGGCTAGGTTTACCTCACCAGTAACAATTAAGCAGTGAATATTAGTGAATATTAGTAGTAAACTAACAGGATTTATGGATCATGTGTATAATAACATCTATGCCATTGTAGACACTACGAGATGCTGAATATGAAGTGTAAATAACAGAGACTGCCTATTTGTAAATGTTTGCCAACATTTGCCTACCACCACAGTACCCTGAATATCTATTGCATGTTGATGCTGTCTTAAACCATAGCAAACAGATTATGATTCAGAAGACTTTTCATATCTCCAATAGAAACACATTGTAGAAATTACTTCAGAAGACCTGTAGGGCAGAAGAGAATCTAAGGACTTTGTTTTGACAATACAACTGCCTTAATGCTTCATTTGCGATAACATATTCCTCTTCAGATCTTTTTATCACATGAATTAAATCATTTCGTTATGATTTGTTTCTACTACAGAAACCTCTGTAAACTATTACAGATCGTAGAGTGTCCTCTACAGTAGTTCAAACCAGAAATCATTCCTACTTCAGCTTTCTATTATAATAGCATAAATTCACAATACATTTATTGCTTTCATTTATTTTGCTGAATTCTTATTTTTATTTTGAACTAGACAAAATAACATGGCCCATTAGGTCATTGTTTCAGAGACATTTCTTTATCTAAACAGAGGAACAGAATGATCCCAAGTGGGCAAAAAAGCACTGGGAGTGGGATTGATTTCTGAATTCATGTTGGCGGAATTAACTTTCCTTGTAAAAAGCTGGCAGGGAACATTGGAAATAGTGATAGCAATAGCATAGCACTTATATACTGCTTCATAATGCTTTATAACACTCTCTTAAGCAGTTTACTGAATCAGCATATTGCTCCACAACAATCTGGGTCCTCGTTTTACCGACCTCGGAAAGATGGAAGGCTGAGTCAACCTTGAGCCAGTCCAGATCGAATTCCTGGCAATGGGCAGAATTAGCCTGCAATACTGCATTGTAACCATTGCGCTACCACAGCTTCGATCATGTGGTCATGGCAAGATGGCAGCACTGAAATGAAGACACCTTTGCCAAATTTCAATTCCTGTGGGAGTCATGGATTCTGGATTTTGGATGTATTTCATAAATTAGCTCATTTGAGGTATGTTGATTCAGTACCTGGTGTCCTACGATACACTATTTCGCCCAATTGAAGATTACAAACAATGAGGGTTTTAGCAGTGAGGGTTTAAACCAGTGGTGAAATCCAAATTTTTTTACCACTGGTTCTGTGCGCGTGGCTTGGTAGGCATGGTGTGGCTTGGTGGGCGTGGCAGGGGAAGGATACTGCAAAATCTCCATTCCCACCCCACTCCAGGGGAAGGATACTGCAAAATCCCCATTCTCTCCCCACTCCTGGGGGAAGGATATTGCAAAATCTGCCAGCCAGAGGTGGTATTTGCAGGTTCTCCGAACTACTCAAAATTTCCGCTACCAGTTCTCCAGAACCTGCTGGATTTCACCCCTGGTTTAAACATGATGGTTTTAGTAGTATATAAATGTTCAACTTGGTCTGCTTTGTTGTTGCTATGTATGGGATTTTATGCACTATGGTGGTTTGTTTCTTTTGTGATACACCACCCTGATTCTCTTCTGAAGGGTGATTTGTGCTTAAAATTAAAGGGGATTGGTAATAGCATAGACATATATTTTAGGAAATGTTCTCCATTATTACTGGTCTCATTAAAGAATGTTGATGCTTTGGAGAAATCCAGTGAGAATTTAAGAACAGCATTAGAAATCTACTGCTACATAAAGCATTCAAAAGTCAGCTTTGATGCTTTCCTCCAATCTCTGTCTTTGAAATAGAAAATAATGACATGACAGAAGGGAATACCAACCGGGTGCATATCCATATTAATGTCCTCATACTCTGGCAGATTTGCAATTATGGATTCCATACAGCATGTGGAATCACCATCCAAGCCTGCCTCTAAGATTTGTTCTAACAAATTATATTAAAGAATAGAGATATAATGAAACTATTTATCAACTGCAAATCCAACGATGATTCCAATTTGAATATGTTTGCAAAGAATCCTTCAAGGCCACTTTTCTGTTAGTTTTCAGTTTGTACCAGCAATGAATTTTGCATAATATTATAACAACGACAATGACATTACTTGCAGGGCAAACATTATTATTATGGCTGGTCGTGCAGTCAGCCAGATGTTTAAACCGTGTTTGGCATTTTT